TCCGGGAGGCTAGTGCTTGCAGGTGACCTCGAGCAGGTTGAGCTAACTCGAGGCGAAGTCCCGATGTCTACGTTGCAGACGTTAATATCGCGTCACAACTAGACGAACGGCTAAGTTTAGGTGGCCAGCCGATACAGAACCACACTAAAAATTTCTAGATGAGATACTTGTTGATCTGTTTGTAAACCATGTTTGTCAGCTACTGGCGTGCCTAGCAGAGCAAAATCCTGCGCTTAAATCCCCCTCGTGTCCCCTCGCTCTCTTCCTTGTGGACAAGAGACCTCTACATGGGTCTAATCATGCGTGTTTCATTGTTGGGAACTCCGCCCCCAAAAATATACTGATCCCAACCCCTTTTTAATCAAGAGAGGGCCCTCAACTAGCGAGGGTGACAACCTGTTGGGGTGCTGTCATACGGCTTGGCCACCAGAAGTTTTCCCGTGGGAACCATGAGACTGTTTGACTCTCAGCCGGTGCATCCCGTAGTCTAAACCTTGTTCGGGGTACATCGCGGCCTTCTACGACCCTGCAGACGCCGCCGTAGGTACAAAGGATCAAACGTTGGCGGTGACGTTCGAAGAAGAACACCCCATTCTGCACTTGCCAGCTCTCTTTCATGCGCCCGCCGTTCCCGCCGGTCAGCGGGGTAGTACGGCGCCCGTTAATTGCCGTGACGCAGGGTCGCAAAAATGGTAGTCCGTGACATGCACACTCTCGGCTAGATTTCGCCGCTGCTGTGGGCGTCGGCGTCAATATCAGTGGGAACGTCGGTGTTGATGCCATTCACCGTATATGTATAAGTATCTATATCTATGAAAACGCAAGCAAGAAAAATAATTCCTGGAAAAACGACTCCGGCGCGCGGGATTGATGGGTCCTCAACGTCGTAAATGCGAGACATTAAGCACTGAGCCAGAGAGAGGTACCTCCTTCAATATTCAAATGCCAAGCTATTGATACCTACCACTTTCCGCTATTGGCGGGCATCTCGGGGGGGTGGGAACTATCGTGTTTTCAGCATTTTCAGCAAGATGGCGCGGTGAGCGCGCGGCGGCTCTCATCTCTCACGCGTACTTTGGCCCACGTAGAGAATAAGGGGCTGCATTCTCGATCACACGCCCTTATCTTGCAGTGCGGAGAACCGTGCGTATTGCCTAGTCATTAATTTCGTCGGAATGATTCTGTTGTAGTTATCGGGCACACAAAGGTCACTGCAATTGTTGCACAGCCTCCATTTACGAAAAGGGCGCGCCTTTCCGACACACTGAAGTAACAACTCAGACGCTTATTCACGTTAATCTGTACCTGTGAGTAGGTTTCGTGCGTTCTTTGTGCGTCAGAAATAAGGGGCACGTTTCGATCTGCCTGCAATTCTGCGCGTGACCTTCGAATTTGTTGTTGGCGGGGCAGATTTTATGTAGATAGAGCGTAAATAAACGATCTTACACGAACTTTTTATAGTCCACTGGCTATACTACTACTATGGGTAGCTACACCTTCAGTGCTCGTCTACTACAAGTGTAACACACATGGCCCTTTTAACACCAGTCTTCGAATTCGCAGTCAGAATAAAGCACTTCAGATATTAACACGATAGCTTGTACGTAATAGAGCGGTTGACTGGGCTAGTTGGTATGGCATACTTGGGTTTTAGCAGCGCGAAAAATGCACGAAAGACAAGAAAGGGACGAGACAAGCACTGACTTCCAACGAAAATTTTATTGACGGGAAGACCGTTAATATGCAATGGAGCACAAAGAGTGAAAAAATGACGTATTTTAAGATACAAATTATCAACTAACGCCATGCCTGCTGCGCCTACCCTCGCACCTCAAGAAACATATCTCTTTATCTGATAGGGCAACTGAAGGCTTGCTTACACATGCGCTGCTTTCAAGCTCCATTTGAGCAGCCTCATAAATTATACGCACGTTTTCCTCTTTAATCTTGCATAGAACTGTTGTTTTTTCATTTGTATCGTATTTTAATTTGTATCTTAAAATACGTCATTTTTTCACTCTTTGTGCTCCATTGCATATTAACGGTCTTCCCGTCAATAAAATTTTAGTTGGAAGTCAGTGCTTGTCTCGTCCCTTTCTTGTCTTTCGTGCATTTTTCGCGCTGCTAAAACCCAAGCTTGTACGTATTCGAAAAATTCTGGTGTTGGCGTCAGCGCTGTTGGTAGTGAGGCAAAAAATAGGGTTGTCCAGAAGCGGAAATTCGAGATATCTACAAATATATTAAATCATAAAAAGCCGTTCGGTTGGAAATTGAACCGAATCTTTTTTTGTTTGGGAGAGCACCTTTGGTAGAACGTTTGGTAGAACGCCTTCTTGGTACGCAAGCAAGCGTCCTATCAAGCAGGCGATCCTGTTTGGCAGGCATTTCTGTTTGATAGGACGCCTTTGCGTAGCAGGCGTTCTATTAAACAAGATGTAATTGCATGAAACTGCTTAAAAAATGAACAAATCATAAGTAACTAGGTGCGTCTGCTTTTTAGTCATACAGTGTTTTGTGTAACGAGCGTACAATCACTCCAGGCATCAACAAAACAAAATTTTACAATGAGTGGGTGATTTAGAGCCACACCCATTACAAACACTCAGGCAAAGCAACAGCTGTGTAGGTTCGCGTTTACCTTATTGGTGCGTAGTGTACTCTTCCATAATTTGGAAAAGGGAGGTATATGGTGTAGTGGGCACTTCGCAGCGGTACTTGTAGCAGGCATTTTTAAATCGATTGAAGTGGTGAATGTTGCGCGTGCGAACGTTCGCTTACTTGCGTTTGAAGCGACCACCAAGAACTGAAGCCACGCTACAACTGATAAGGCAACACACATGGAGCCCAATTACCCTATGCTCAATGCATTATGAAAGTTTCAAATATATAAAACCGCACCGAAAGAAACAACACGTAGGCGTTTATTGAGTGCTGATTCAGTATTGCAGCGTGAGTATATAAAGTAATGTCTAGGATTCAAGTTTCTCCTTCCCGCTTGGGGAGGGTTTCATGTCGACGTAGGTATACGACAGACAAGCTTGGTCTTGCTGTTAGCGATGTTCAAAAGCCACTACATCAAGCACTTGAGGCTTTTGTCATTGTGTAGACAAATAAAAACAATGCCAATCAAGGTAGTATAGGTGAGGGCACGTTAAGCGGGTGCAGCAAAAATGTATTGCCGAATGGCCGTGTATAGTTAATGGCAAGACAGTCGTTATTAGTTTGGCGGCGTTGAAATAAATGACAATAAAAATTATAGACGGATAAGCACGGAGATTACCAGTAGGTTAGATCGATGCATGGTCAAACGCTACCGTCCCAAGCACTAGACAGGCGCCACGGTGGCACTCACTTCCGTTATGTTTCGGTGCCCTACCATACCATCCATGCACCCGTGTGCCAAAAGACAGATACTTCGATAGCTGCCTGTGGCATTCAAGAAGTACTGAAGGAACAATTTGGCCATTGAGAAGCTAAATTATATAGGCGACGAGAAAAAGCCAGGCACCATGTCGAAGCTTTGCTGTCCGTGATTGCGTGAACATGAAACATATATAAACGTCCGACTCATACGCTACACGCAGCGAGAAGACTAATTTTTAAAAAATACAATTCCGAAGTGTAGCTTTGGAATTGGCCCAAAACAATTCATGCGCTGTGGGCAGGCAGTGCGCATCATTACGGTGGTTAGGACATCGATGCTAAACTGAATGTCTGTGCCTCAAGCATTGTGATTGCTTCCTATGTCATAAGCGCGTTATACACGTTTCGGGACGATCATTTGAAACTTCTTAAAGACACCATGGAACAATACGTAGGTGCCTCGACTATGCCGACAAGGTCACATGAACGCGCTGCGAAGCGCCAAATATGCACGTGGGCACGGACGAATATATACACCCACAAAAAAAGCTGCCTATGTGTGGGCTGACCGGAGAAGCCAAGGTAAAAAAATAGTGTCCTTTCCTGGCGGCAGCTTTACAATGGGGTTCGATAAATTTAAGATGCCAAGTAAGTAAGGTTTCTTCAAGGTGCGTCAAGACTTCTACACTTCAGACAGTCCTAGATTGCGGTCAGCCTGGATTATATTAAGAGGAAAAGTATCCAGACATATTGGCGCACCTCTCTGGGACACCGGAGGGCGGATTAGAGTGAAAACTAGGACGCAACATAGTAAAGTGACAGGCAAGAGATTGCTGCACCTCACGCAGTTTCCACTGCGCCCTGTTCTGCATCATATGCAGCGTGCGTGCAGCATTTCAATTTCGAGGAAACGTTACAAAATGAACACCGTTTCCTTTACCATTCCTACGTAGACCTAACGCGCTACTGTTGCAGTTCCGCCAATCCTCAATGAAACGGCGACGTTCCTGCGTCCTTCCAAAAAGAAACCAGTTCCCGGAACGTTGTTCCTTGAAATACCTAACCGTACAATACTGCTTTCTGGTTAACACTCATGTTTTGTACCTGCCTTTCTCTCTCTCCCCCTCTGACAAAGGATTGAGAAGTAGATTTTTTAGCAAGCTGTATAGACACTGCAAACCATTATCTTACATTGTATTCCACTAATAATTAACAGATACCGCCATCTTGCATAGCAAGATATTGCCCGAGTGACTGCATACATACAAAAAAAAACACTACGTACAAAGGTATTTTATATAGCGAAACGAAAATAAAATAACGAAAAGTACACATGGTTTATCAGTGAACGATGTTTCTTGCGCAACGGTACAAAAATGAACACACGACATCAGCGAATGCCGTACGAAACAAATGGGTGTTTTTAACTTTTAACAAACCGGAGCGCTTCGTCAAATTTATCACTTTCTCAGAGGAATTGAGGTACGAGACCACCTATTTGTATTCTCCCGCATTTGTTGTTTTTTTTTCTCCTATGCATACAGCAAATTCAACACATCTGTAAAGCAGAGCAATGCATGATTTGTTACGATTTGAGTGGAATAAGTGTACTAGCTTTCGTAGTGTTGTCAACTTACCCCTAAATGCCATGTCTCGTCCAGGAAGGTGGCGTTCTGCAAAACATGGGAATGGCTTAATTCTACATCAGTTTTTGTTAAGGCTATATGAACAAGAAAGAAACCCCTAAACCTCACCGTGAAACTTCTTTATGGCTATAGGTCTCATTAGAAATTCTTTTCTAGTGAGACCCATACTCATAGAGAAGGCGTACAGGAAACTATTATCGCCGTTATAGCTGTAAGAAGACGGAACGCTGGACGAGTTGGTAAATCATGGCTACAAAACTGCTCGAAAAAGAGACAAGAAACAGGGAAGGCACACACAAGCGCTGACTAGCAACTGAAAGTTTATCGAAGGAAACAAAAATATAAATAGCAAAATACTCAATAGCTCTAAATCAAGTGTGTCAAAATTATTTAAAAACTTTAAAAATCACGAAAGTGCGACATCTATCTATCTGTCTGTCTGTCTGTCTGTCTGTCTGTCTGTCTGTCTGTCTGTCTGTCTGTCTGTCTGTCTGTCTGTCTATCTGTCTGTCTGTCTGTCTGTCTGTCTGTCTGTCTGTCTGTCTGTCTGTCTGTCTGTCTGTCTGTCTGTCTGTCTGTCTGTCTGTCTGTCTGTCTGTCTATCTATCTATCTATCTATCTATCTATCTATCTATCTATCTATCTATCTATCTATCTATCTATCTATCTATCTATCTATCTATCTATCTATCTATACGCCTATGTCCAGATGCTCTCATGAGGACCACCTAAACTTAGGTTAAACCAAAATTAATACGGGAAGGAAAGACGGTTTGACGAATATCACTTGCTGGTAATCATATAAATAATGTCCCAATCCTCTTGTTTATGTCGGAAAGCCCTTTCCACGAGATGTGCGGCACATACTCACGGGTGGGTATGTCGACTCATATGTGGGTATGTGCCACAAGTGATTGACAGCTCATATCTACCGGAGAAACGGTGAGAAAAGACAAGCGAAGCTTTTAGGCACGAGCGTCAAGACAAAACTGACCTCTGCGGCGTTGACTCGGACGAATGCAAAGTATCAGTCTCAGGGCTCAAGCAGCAATTGAACTCTAGCATTCAGCGTGGCAATCAAGCATTCTACCACAGAACGTCGCCTGGTCTCGGAACTCCTTTTCAAGTAGATCCTAAGGTTCGTGAACCATGAATGGTGATTGCTGTGGTGCCTATTCAATTTTACAAACATTACATATGTACTGCTATGATACAAACGTCACGGGGGGTTAAATCAATTTTGGTCAAGCACCATTCACTGAACCTAATTTATCTATTATCGTCCAGGGCTACCACCGCTTCATATCACGTTTCGCTAATATCGATGTTGCTTTTGGGATTGTTAAAGAACTCTAAACAACTCGTTACGTAAAACATGTGTGGCTGCCTGGAATGAGTTTGTACATATCTTCAGCGCCACATCATAACCTGTCACACAGTAAAAAAAATTACAACCCAGTCAGCTTTCATCTGCATGCTTTGCAGAACATTGATTCCCAAGGTACGTAGAATCTACCAAAAGTTTTATTTAGTTAGTTTTTTCCACGCAATAATGGCTACGGGCACCGGCGAGAAGAGAACAATGGTGTCCAAAAAGACCATTCTTGTGATTCTATAAAAATAATACTGAAAAAGCGCAGCTTGCAAGAATTAGGAAAGCGTGGCACGGCACATAGTGCTCACTCACATCCGAAAAATTTTATTTAGGATAGGACGTACTTATATATACATTACACAAATTTACGTCATTGTAAACAATGCTTGTCATCTAAAAAGAGTGTAATCACCAATAGACCACTCAAAAAGATTACATACGTCACAGAATCTTTTATTAGGCCGCTACATAATAAGAAAGGCCCTTAGTCATCTCTGATAAACAAAATTGTTTGATATCCCTTTCGCATAGAAATCGGTATAACAGACAAGACTGAAACGCGTGTTCACAGAAATATAGTTCAATGTTTAATACACATCAATATTTCTAACGATATTGAGGGGCCACAGGGCCTCTACACGTTAATGTACTTATGACGACACCTGGCGGCACACATTTATCACGACAACCTGTGGCAACCTATGACTCACGACCGGTATACACATCCCAGAGACACTGCACACACTGGAGCCTCGCGCATGCCTCATTCGCTCCGAAAGCTAGCGCAAATCTTGCAAGCAAAATTGAACGTGATTTCACTCAATCGTTTTTCAACTCACGGTCTGCTGCAGCTGAGGAGTGTGATTTTCGGGTTGGTTACCATAATGTTAAAGTGCTTGGCGTGCAGCGTCCCGATTCACTGCGGTGAAGATGAGATCGCTTCAGTCCCGCATTCTTTTTCTGAGTCGTAGTAGCGAGTTGCTCTTTTTACTTCAGGAAACAAGAACTTCGCTAGGCAAAGCCACCTACACTAATAAAAATATCTTCTTTTTTTATCAGTTCGACAAATTGCATGCAAATATATTTGTCACCCATATTTTCAATCTCCTCCGCCTATACTAACTAGCCTGTAAGTTTATTCTTATTTCTTCCCACAATTCTGCATGCTTCGAACAAAGAAAGGCAACCATACTTCTGATAATGCATTGCTAGAAAGCAACCTTCTCGTGTCTTTTACATTGTAATGGCGTGGACGCATCCAGTCATTCTGGAAGCGATCAGTTTGTCCCACGCAGATGCGGCCACAAGGTAGCCCCACAAGCATTGGGTTCTTCGCACAGGGAATTAACTTCCATTCTCACATCTGAATTAAACACCTAACCTCACTATTCTAAAACATTTACTTAACGTTCCTAATTAATGTCTCAAATGATGTCTTCAACCATCTCAAGACACCTGCCACTCCAGCAAAAGCCATTGTGAAGACAGCGAGCACCTATAAGATTTTCTCCATTTTTGAAAAGTTAGGAGATATTAAACAAAAGGCAGTACTGGTAGAAACTGCAGACGTACTTATTTCAACAAACACGCGAAGTGGCTGTGGCTCATTGCACGTGAGTCAAGATATAAACAAAAACACGATGACGCGGGACTTTCGAGGAGAAAAACCGCTGTGGTTCGTATGGCTATTGTATATCCGCTGTGTTTACTCTTAGTATTAACCTCCTCAGATTTCGAAGCTCTACGTGAGATTTCGAATTTAGTGTACTGTTTCTAATATTTTTAGAGTAAATATTTATTAGGACTGACCACACTCAGAATATTATACATCCGAATTCACTTTTAGTTTTCAGTCGCTCGAGTGTTTCTGAGCCCGCGAATATATATAGGCTGCAGCACGGTGAATAGAATATACGTAATTCTCGTATATGTTTTATAGGCTCTGCATAAAAGCGTTAGCTGGGCTACAGTCATAACAATGAGTGCTGATGCAATTAGCTACAACGCATACAAGAAAAATCAGTAATGAAAACGCAGCCTCCGTAAGGCAAAAATAAATTGCCCGGTTTTCTCACTGTTCCATTGCTTTTCTGTGTCTTTTATTTTTCTTTGTCGCACAAGCTTCCGGAACGCATCAAACCTGTGACTTAATAACCCAGTTCCTCCTTTATTTCTACAGAACTGCAGAAAAACGCAGGATCAAGGTTGTGAAACCCTGTGGTGCAACGCCATGCTTCGCGTAGAGCATGGCATTGCGCCACGGGGACTGGCAGCGCAGTGTCGAAAGTTTTTATGCTTTACGGCAGTGTAGTTTTGTGTGAAACATCGAAAATCTCTTTATATCTCGAGAAACTTCTTGATGGCAGAATAGTGAGGCTCATGGTTTCCTTTTTTTTTAATTCCTGTTCTTTCATTTACTTTTATCTCGTGTTACCAAGAAAACGCGCCACGTGCACTATATGCAAAAACATTTTACAAATACTTACCCGCAGGGTTATACTGAAGGTAATCTTATCCACCTCGTACAAAAGGGACAGCAGGATTTCTGAAAAGAAAATTACTCACTCCATTGGTACTCAGCTGCTAATACAGGTGTAGCGCTACAGTGTAAATTTAAAGATTGAATAGATCGTGTGAATTTAAAATTATTCAAAAATGGTTTCAGAGCCAGAGCACTCGCCCTTTCAGAATAGACATACTTTGCATTACCCCAAGCAAGCGCAATGAGCGTTGTTTCTGTGAGCATAAAAACTATTGCGAAGCATAAAAATCAACACGCAGACAACGCAAGTAAATAATTCTGCGTGGGTGGCTATTGAGAGGCATTGGCCCAAGAAAAAATAAACTTGGTTATAGGAATCGGTATAAAAAATAACGAATAAACTTATCGCGTTTTCTTATATGCAGTCAATGGTTTATTGCACTATTATTGTGTGGACCATAAACACCTAAACAGAATTATAAAAAAAAGGGTTGGTATACCATCTGCCTCGAATAGGAGATGCCCTTGATTTGAGTGTCTCTGTTGTTACCGCTATTTTTTTTTCTATCAACCTACGTTCCGGATACAGGCCGGTTGAGGTGGGTGCTGTGAACCGTGAAAAAACGGCATTTATTACTCCTGATGCACTATATAAGGTCACGGTCATGGCCTTCGGCCTTTGTAACGCTGCAGCCACGTTTGAACGATTTGACTGATATGTGGGGTTTAAGGCCCCTAAACCACTATATGATAATGAGAGATTGCGTAGTGGAAGGCTCCGGAAAATTCGACCACCTGAGGTTCTTCAACGTGCACTCAAATTCGAGCACACGGGCCCACAGCATTTTAGCCTCTATCAAAATGCAGCCACGTCAGCCGGAGTCGATTCGCAACGTGCGGGTCAGCAGCCAAGTACCCTAGCCAATAGATCACCACGGCGGCACCATGTTTGAATGAATGACAGACTCTCTGCTCAGAGACTCTATTTTGTCCACCTGTTGGTTTTGCTTGGATGACGTCGTTGTCTTCTGCCCGACTTTTTAAACTCATATACAGCACCTGTAAGCAATCCTAGACATGATCCATGACGCTGGCGTGCAGCTGAACTCATCGAAATGTGACTTTGGCCTACCCCTAAATTGCAATACTCGGCAATTCAGTTGACGCTAACGGCGTAAAACCAGACCCAGCGGAAATCAACGCCATTCGAAGACTTTCCTGTGCTAAGATCTGCAAAGAATGTTCGCAGCTTTCTCGCACTCTGTTGTAACTACTGGCGTCGTTGAGGGTATAGGCGAGGTTTGTGTTGCACGTACCGCAGGCGCCGCGACGTCGCTACAAATGCCTCAGAATGTCGACGGCACCTACCGCTGTCTACAAGCGTAGAATAGCCCTGTACTGTTGTGCACGTGACTATGGAAAGCCTTAGATTCCCACTTTTTTTAAAAGACGATAGTCTTTCTGGGGACCTTCGACGCAGAAATTTTGGTCTGTGTGTTTGTCCGTCTGTCTGTCCGTCTGTCTGTCTGTCCGTCCGTCTGTGTGTCCGTCTGTCCGTCCGTCCGTCCGTCCACCCGTCTGTCTGTCTGTCTGTCTGTCTGTCTGTCTGTCTGTCTGTCTGTCTGTAAGCTTGTCTGTTTGGCAACTCTTAACGGCATTGAGTACTTGAAACGGCCGACCCCATCCGCAGCGCCCGCCAATGTTGCTCAAGATTCAGCGTTCATACTTGCACAATTGCCAATTAAGCAATCATTGCGCATGTCTGCGGCACCATAACAACACGTATATATTTCCTTCGGGCTCTCTTTACTCTTTCACCCCATTACTATAGCATGCTACACGTACACGGTTATAATTCACTGTACCCTTCCTTCATCCTAACATTCACGTGTCGTTCACCACTCCTCTTTAAACTGCACAGGGAGGGGGTGAAGGAACAGGCAGTCAACGCAAGATGTCAACGAGACGTGCGTGTTGTTTCGTATCCCACACCAGGGGAAAGGGCATATATAAAGTTTAAAGTGTACGAGAGGACGGCCTCAATGAGTATTTATATTAGTAGAGGATCAGACGTGTTATTTGAATGTTGCGAGTGCTGTCCCGCCCGGTGGCAGATACACAATTGTTTTCGTCCAGTTTAATTTCTTGTCTTAATTGCTATGTCGTAATTGCTAATATGTCGTAATATTCTATGTATTATTTGCTACATTAAAACACCTCCCCATTCTTCCTCGGCTCTGTTCGTCTGTTGGTTGACAATGATTTTTGATCTCACAAATGAAATCGATCACAGCACGGATCTTGTTATGGACAGTCCGTAAAGTGCTTCACAATGGAAATACAGCTGTAGGCTTACCTGCGAGTATCTCGTTCCCGAGTATTGAGTGAGACTGGTCGTACATAACCTGCGTATTCACAAAATATTCGTTGTTTTAAATAAATACATTCGTATGTTAGATCATTTATTTCAACAAACATGTATTATAATTCAGAAGAGATCAATTTACCAACAAGCAAAATATGTAGCTGCATTGCGAAGGAATGATCAGAATACGCATGCACAGCGGAGACCAACGTAAAGGTTGAACTCGATGAATCGATCACGTCGGTACGCGTCCACGTGGCTATGGAGTCGAGTGATGTGCTCACGGGGATAAATATAGCACATGATCACAAGTTGCGCAAGCTACTGCCCGACACCTTTCCAGGTATGTTCTTGTCGTGCGCACGCATAGTTCCCACAATTTATGCTCCTGTTGGATAATGAGCAACCTTTTCGCAGAGTGCATTGATGGGCTACAGACATGCTTAATAACAATGAGGTACATTTTGACACGAAAGTGTTCAATTACGGGATTAACCAACACTTAACTGACGTTTTCCCGTCACGGATATGACGTTGTTGAAATATACATGACCAGACTATAGAACGAAGTAAACCAGAAGAAAAACAATCACAATATGTCCAAGGAGTGAATGATGATGAGTTGGGCGAAGCCTCGGAAGGTTTTATCGTAGGATAAGTACTTTGGTTCGGGCTAGCTGGTTCATAGTACTCATTTTCAAAACGGCAGCGCAACAGCACGAAAACTCTGTGATTTTCTATCCTCATGGTATTGCGCTGCCCTTTTCAAAATGAGTTTTATCGCAAACCGTGAAGCATCCGTCTGTTCTTCCATATGTCCGCCCCTCCGCTCATACGTTGATCTGTCTGTCTGTCGGTCTGTCTGTCCGTCTGTCTGTCTGTCTGCCTGTATGTATGTATGTATGTATGTATGTATGTATGTATGTATGTATGTATGTATGTATGTATGTATGTATGTATGTATGTGTGTGTGTATGTATGTATGTATGTATGTATGTATGTATGTATGTATGTATGTATGTATGTATGTATGTATGTATGTATGTGTGTGTGTGTATGTATGTCTATTCGTCCATCCTTCCGCACCAGCTGAGTGCGTCATCGAACCAGGCAGTCACGCAGGAGCTGGGAGCGACAGCCCCCGGTTGTAGGAACTTCGCGTTTAAATTTTGAAACTTTACACACGGGAATGAAAGCCATCACCTCTCAATCCGCAGTGATAGGGACAATTAGCAGACTTAGGCACCAGGAGTATTCTCGAAGCGTATACTTCAGGAGCTTCTTATATAATTCACACTTTTTATCTCTGTACCCACGCTCTTCGCTTGTCGGAACAGTGCCACCGCCTGAGATGCGGTGAAAGAAAGTGATGCATCATGAGATTCTGACATTAACACCGACAGAGAACGCTGCGGAAGACTCAGCCATTCGGTGCCCCGATGCCAGCATACGAACTGACCCTGGCATCAAAGCACCCTAGCGACCGCACTTGGCCCTAATTGCCCTTGTTGAAGCCATGCGTAGCATTGTCTCGGTAGCCAGCTTTGACAAGATTTCTGGGGCGGATTTCACAGGACATAAATGCATTATATAACTGCAACGCACTTTAGGCGCTTGTTAGACTCGTTGACGTTGCAGTTACGTGCTGCGTCTTCCGCGTTGTGCTACCGTAAGCAGAGTAGTGCCGCTCCCACATGCCAAAATTTTGTATCTCCACCATCTACGGATACGAGTGTGATGGTACCGACTACGAGAACTATCACATTTAGCGCCGCTCACTCATGTACAATGGCGTCGATGGGCTAATTTCACACAAATGAGTTCGGTGCAGTGATAGATTCGCGAAGGTGGAGCAAAAGGCTTTCGCGCTTCATGGCTCAAACGGAGAACTCTGTCTCTCGCCTTTGTCAAGTTGAGCACTACGCGGCCCTACTAGCTACCATACAGACACCAATGCTGGACCAAAACAACCTTATCTTGACTGAAGTGACCTATGAGCGGGACGTTGCTCCCCAGCAGGACGCTGCATGCCAATAATATTCGAAGGATGGTTAGCGACTTGACAATGAAACTCCTTAGCTGTAGTAGACCGTGACTTTAAAAAAAAGCGATTCAGTGAAACTCCGTTTGATTTCACTTGCACGGCTCGCGTTAGCCTGTTGTAAAAAGTGATTTGCGCGATGTGCCCATGTGTGCACAGTCTGCAGAAAGTGCATACCGGTCGCAAGTCATGGGTTGTCGTGGTAAAATGTGCGGTCAACAACAGCGCATCAACATCCATGGCGCTGTAGCCTCTAAACACCAATAGACGCACTAATGTGTATTAAACATGGGACTACTGTTTTTAAAGACGCGTTTCCCTCTCGTGCAGTTATACCCGATTCCTATATCACATGGATCAATCAGACTTTTAGCAGTACCTGTACTCAACGCATTGCTTGCAAGCTTCATAAACAATATAGATTGATAAGAATGGACGACATACGCGCGGTCAGACCAATTTATAACATCTGATTACCAGAAAAAGAAAAGCTTCAGAGACAAAATGTACCAATTGTACTCAGCGACTTTACAGCACTGGGAAAGTTACAAAACCAAAGCACTTGCTTGCTACCGAACCAATAGTTTTACCTAAGTTTACTGATTATTACCTCATTTGCCTTGCTGAAAAACCTGCCGCTTTATAAATATATAAGTCAAAGACTTGCGAGAAGTCGTAGGTTAAATATAGACACGGTTTTCTCCGCGAGAATATCTCCTTTTAGGGGCGAAGCTCCTTAAGGCGTGGGCTGTGCGTCCCCTGTAGCCTGTATGTAGCCACCTCTAGTTTAGTTCTTGCAGTGTTCACTAGATGGCGGTACGGTCCCCTGTATGTAGCCACCTCTAGTTTAGTTCTTGCAGTGTTCACTAGATGGCGGTACCGACTCCTGTATGTAGCCACCTCTCGTTTAGTTCTTGTAGTGTTTACTAGATGGTGGTACTTGTAGCTGATGATGAAAAGATGCAAGATGTTATAAACTAGAAAGCGGTACTTGTAGTTGATGAAAGATGCGAGATCTTATAAAATAGGAATGATGTCACATATGGCGCGTGTCATTGGTTGAAGGCAATCGTTCAATTTAGTGCGGCGACGTACGCTAGGGGGAGCGTTGTAATAAAATCGAGTGGGCAAAATGTACAGAGGATTCATGATTTACCAGGTTTACCTCCGGAGCTTCACCCACTCATCATCATTCACTTCGTGGATATGGCGGAATTTTTTACATTTATTTGACATCACAAGCTTCTCAAAACGGCCGTTTTCAATGGTATATGTACCCTTAATTTACATAAGGAAGAATATGCTGTAGTGGGAATTTTTTAACTGTACTTGCAGTAAGCAATCTAAAATAGACTTAAACGGTGAATGTTACACGCGCGTAACATTCATCGTTTTCTTTTGCAGCATAGTTGAAGCGTCTACTGAAAACCGAAGTCACGTGATCACCTTATGAGGCGACACACATGTACAGTCAGATTACGGTGTCGCGTTCTATATTCTTCAAAGCGAAGCTCAAGCGCACGGTGTAAAAAAATAAATCATCATCCAAGGTACTTGATAGATAGGTATGTGGAATTTAATGTCCCAAAACCACCATATTATTATGAGAGACGCCCGTATTGGAGGGCTCCGGAAATTTAGACCACTTGTGGTGCTTTAACGTGCACCTAAATCTGAGCACACAGACCTACATTAATCTCGCCTCCATCAAAATTGCTGCCGCCGCAGCCGGGATTCGATCTCGCGACCAGCGGGTCAGCACCTGAGTGCCTTAGCCAATAGACCTCCATCGCGGGGCATCCAAGCTTCCTTCAAATAGAAATGGCCACACATCCACCAATATAAAACTTCTATGCACACACCAAAAAAAAACTGAAAGGAACACTGCATAGAGATTTAATAAGTGGCGATTCCATATTAGAGTGTGAGTGTTTGAAATAATGACCAAGAAGTGTTGCGCTTTGGGCTAGTTAATTGCTATGACATGATGGTAGATATAACGCGAGCCGCTCGTCTCCTTCTTGTCTCTTTGTCGTCATTCTGTTTTCGCGTTATATCTACCGTAATGACCAAAAGTTATTATTCCTTCCTTCTTCACTCTTGGCAAGGGGTGCTTCTCGATGTTGCCATATACTCCGTTCTGTCGTGAGCATTTCATTGGCAATGCTGAGAACCCGTTCCATCAAGCGCATGAAGGTTCTCTCATGTTGTACGCAAATAAGAACTATGTCAATCAAGGTAGTAGAGCTAAGGGCAGGCTCAGCGGGTGTAACACGAGTGTAACTCTGGATGTACTTCTAATGTTTATTGCCAGACAGATTGTTTATTTCTTGATTTTGCAAAGGCATTCGATCTTGTTGCTCATTGTAGCTTGATATTACAACTGTCATCACTAAAACTTGATTCACTCACACTAACATGGCTCAGAAACTTCCTAACTGACCGCCAACAATTCACTATCGCCAACAATCACTCCTCATCACTCTGTTACGTTTCCTCTGGGGTACCACAGGGCAGTGTTCTTGGTCTCTTACTTTTCCTCATCTACATTAACGACCTGCCTGACAACGTATCCTCATGTATGCGTATATTTGCCGATGACAGCATTCTCTATCGTCCCATCTGAAACAATAGCGATCATCTAACTCTTCAAAAAGACCTCGAGCATATATTTGAGTGGTGCAAAACATGGCAGATGACACTTAATGTTTCCAAATGCAAACTAATCACCTTTATTCGCAAACGTGATAACTTTATTAGCCAATACAAAATTGATAATAGCATTGTAGAACGCACTGATCACTACAAATACCTAGGCATAAACTTAACTTCTACACTTTCATGGTACACATATCACTTCTATCTGTGCCAACACATCAAGATCATTAGGTTTTTTGTGCCGAAATCTATACAGTGCTCCCTCCGATGTGCGCAAACTGGCTTATCTTGCTCTAATCCGTCCTCAACTGGAGTTCCCATCCTCTATTTGGTCACCATATCAACAATATCTCATAGATAAGTTAGAATGTATACAGAACAGAGCTAGTCGATTCATAGCGCGTAATCACAGCTACCCGTCCAGCGTAACACAGATTAAACATAGCCTTGCACTCGAGCCAGCTGAAAATTCGCCGCGACGTCTCACTTTTATTACTATTTAACAAACTCATCCACACCAGCATGATGCCATCTGTTAACCTTAATCTAGCACATCAAACTTCGAGCAGACTACATAACACCTTTAGCTTATCACGCATGTGATACTAACGCTTTCAACCAGTCGGCTCTTCCACGAGCTATTCGTTTGTGGAGTGATTTGCCAGATGATTTGGGAGTCTGCACTGCTCAGCTTACGCCGGCAGGAAAAGCAGCAGCTGGTCCAACGTGCTCGCAGGGGCGCGCAAGGCAATGGAGCCCTGGACTGAGAACCGCACCCAAAGAAGGCTCAGTGTGCATTTGTTATTAATAAATGTTTATTCTCTCTTCTCTCTCTGCCAGATGATCTTGCGTCAGAACAAGACCACACAAAGTTGTATCATACTCTTAAAAAATACTTATGAACCAAAAACTGCTCTATCGCATCTTCGTAATCATCAGTGTTTCTAGGACTGTTGCCGATGTTTTCGCAATATTGCTAGGTTGTAGTTACTGTCATAATAGTTTTTTTTGTATTTCACCTTCACATACTGTAATTCACTTTTCTAGTATGTATTTTGCTTACATGTTCATAAGTAGAACCGCATTTTCTATTATATAATTTATTTGCCTATGTATGTGTAGAGATTACGTATATGTATTTTTCTAACATATTATCTGTACCGCCTCCTTACACAATGCCCCTCGAGGGCTCTGTAAGGTACTGTAAATAAATAATTAAATATTTATTACGGTGCGGTGGCTGTTGAGAATGATGAGAATAAATAATATAGATTGATAACCGCGGAGATATCTGACATGTTATATAGATGGTTGTCCAAACAAAACCGTCGCCAGCATCGGACAGGCGCCTGCGGCCCCTATTTCCATTAAGTTTCGGTCCTCTTCCCTGCCATCTGCTTACCCGAGTGTTAAAGACAAATTTGTTGTAGGCTGCTGGCAGCATTCACGAGATACTGAAGGGACGATTGAGCCATGGAGCAGGTAAAGTACACGTGACGAGAAAAACACTACCGGGAACTAGGTTAAGGTTTACAGTCCGTGAGCGCGTGAACATAAAACATTCATAAACGTACGAAGCGTACACTGACACAGCAAGGGGGTTCACTTCTAAGGGATAGAATTTCAGAGTGTAGATTTGCCACTATAACGCTAGGGCCCAAGACACTCAAGCACATTGGGATGTCCCTGCATGGGATTATGGGCGTCGGTGCTTTACTTACTTTCTGTGCATCAAGCGTTGTGATTGGTTCCTCCGTCCTATGCGCGTATAACCCGTTTCGCGATGATCATTGGCAACTTTTGAAGACACCCTGTAACCACATGCAGGTGCCTCGACTATGCCGACAAGCTCATACGGACGCGTTGGAGAACCGCCAGGAAGCGCACGCACGCACGCACGCAAACACACACACACACACACACACAAACATACACCACACGCACACAAAGACACGCACACTCACTGCCACAAAGGTACTTGTAAGTTGGCCGACCGAAAATGTCACCAAAGTTAAAAATAGTGCAGGCTTTTTTGGCGGCAGCCTTGCAATGGGCCTCCAGCTTTTTCAAGTGTCAAGTAAAAATTCTACAATGTTTGCCAACACTGCAGAACAGCCTTTGATAACTGTCGGACTAGATCATTCTGATATGGAAAGTAATCAGATGTTCTTTCCACACGTGGTTCGTGACGGCATTGTGAACTTTCCTGCGCTCCCAGATGGCGACCTAAAGTGAAAACCAGGATGCAGATGTTCAAGGGACAGGTGACTGGTAGATTGTTGCAGCACACACAGTCGCCAGTCCACCCCGTGCTGCATTATCTGTTGCTTGTTTCCACCTGTTCAATGCCAAGTACCGTTTACAAACAATTCGTGCGTAAACTTACCGCGGCGGGATAGGAAGTCTCACCCGAGGATGACGTCATGCGAACAGACAGGAAGAACAATAAACTCCACGATGTAAAGAATGCCTTCGATGGAGACTCTTGTAGTGCAGGCTGCGAGAGGCGTTACTTGCTGTGCGCTTGCGGTGTGAAGTGACAGTCCCGAAAGCGGCGTCGTTACTTTGCGTAATAAACGGCAGAGATTAGCGGCAATAACACAAACAGCGGCGCCAGTGTCCACAAGGGCGAAAGTACAATAACCTTCAACAGTTACTGCGACCACGTTAGCAGGAGAGGAGCGAGGGCTTAGACAGTTCGAAAACGGCGCAGTTCTTGCCTCTTGAACTGCGTTGCTTAGTTTTCCTGGTCGGAGGGTCCGGGCCGACGACGCATGGGGGAGGGCGATCGCCGACGAGGAGAGGGTGCGCGTTGCGGCTGGAAGTCAAGGTGGTCCGTAGGCGCATAGCGAGGTGGCGAGACCGGCCCGTATTGGACGAAAGGTTGGCTGCCGGGATGCGACGACCGGGCATAGTTGCCGAACGTCTGAGGTCGACGGCGGCAGTAGCGAGCAACGTGTCCGGGAGTGAAGCAAGCGTAGCAAATCGGTCGGTTATCGGGCGTCCTCCAGGGATTGGCGACTGGTGCTGCCGCCCAAGGTGCAGTATAAGCAGCCGGGTGTGCGGGCTGTGAGCGCGTGGTGTAGGGTGGTTGCGGGAGCCTACGTACAGCGTCTGCATATGTGAGCGGTGCGGCTACGGGCTGCATCTCTTGCGAAAAGGCGACAGGCGGAGCCACAGGCTGCGTTGCATAGGTTAGGGGCACGGCCACAGGCTGAACGGCTGGCGGATAGGCGACAGGAGGGCCTACCGGCTGAGCAGCACGCTGGCAGTGGGCAAGGCTGGATAGATGCGGCTCGTGGTGCGCAACAGGAACAGCTTGGGCAACCTCCTTCGAAATAGCAGTGCGAAGCGGGGCAGGTAGACGGGTGGTGGTCTCGTGAGTGAAGGGCACAAGGGAAAGTTGGCGGGCGACTTCCTCACGGACGAAGGCTCGAACTTGCTGAAGCAGTGGTGAATTGTCCGGCAGGGTGTCGAAACTGGACAGTGACTCACCACCATGCTGAGGCTGCCGAGTCAGAGTGCGTTGTTTCTTCAACTCGTCGTAGCTCTGACACAAGCTGACGACTTCGGAAACTGTGCTTGGATTTCTTGCCAAGAGCATCTGAAATGCGCCGTCGTCGATGCCCTTCAGGATGTTTTTGACCTTGTCAGATTCAGTCATGGTGTCATTCACACGTCGACAAAGGTCGACGACGTCCTCAATATAACTGGTAAAGGTCTCGCCAGTCAGCTGAGAGCGGATGCGCAAGCGCTGTTCTGCCCTCTGCTTGCGGACAGCCGGCCGACCGAACACTTCAGCACATGACGTCTTGAAGACGCTCCATGTGGGGATGTTGTGTTTGTGGTTATTAAACCACAATTCGGTGACGCCAGTGAGATAAAATATCACGTGGCCCAGCTTGTCGGCTTCATCCCACTTATTGTTGGCGCTCACCAGTTCGTAGTGCTCGAGCCAGTCTTCGACGTCGGTCTCATCCGCACCGCTGAAGACCTTCGGCTCCCGTAGTTTAGGATGGCCAGGGCAGTTGAACTGGAGCGATGGCGTCGATGTAGTGGCGTTGGCAGTCATGACAGGTGGTAGCGTGCGGCTTCGCAGCTCCAGGGTGTAGCAACGGGGATTAACAGCACCTCCACCAAATGTAAGGAGGTTTATTAGCCGTTAAAGCCAGCGACGAGACAGCGTCAAGAACCGTCCAGCGATCGGCACAGCAACGAACCGAAGCACGAGCTGAGAGAGCCAGGCGTTGGCGATGCTGCTCGCTGCAGGCACATCTTCTTCTTCACACGTGCGTAAACTTACCGCGTTACCGATACAGTTGCACCAATCCTAATCGAGATGGTGGCATTCTTTCGTTCTTGAAAAAAAGCCAGTTCCTGGAAGGTCATTCCTTTGAACGCCGTTACGTACAACACTGCCGCGACTTTAGTGGGTCCATGTGTGGCCGCAAACGGGCTGCTTAGTTCTCAAAAGAACTTATACTCGATGTATGACACAAAAATATACAATAAACCATCGAAACGTTTCTCCCATTCACTCTTTTGGAGTTCATAATTTTGTGAACGCGTTACGATGGAAGCGAGCGAAACCCAAGTTAGCCAGAAGCTTCCAGACAACTTGGAAACTGACACGAATGCATGGAAGCCATGCCTTCGAAGCGTCGCTAAAATGCCAAGATATAGTGTCGACGAGTACAAAATTGTCATGCTCCAAACGAGAAAACTCACGGCAATAAGGCCCGGTGATTCTCGAAGACACGCGACGGCTGCCCTCAGCAGACGACGCTTGAGCAATACCCGGAGCAGGAGTCGACCTTTCCCTTGCGACGTTTTCACCTGCAAAACGTTCGTTTCCACACGACAGGCAGAAAAAAATTTCACATTTCTGTCGTGACAGGTAGCACACATATATATATCAATAACCCATTTCTTCAGACACAAGTGTTAAAAACATAGTGCATGACTGATTCCTGTGACATAAGGGTGATGGAGTGGGCTAGTTAGTACTTGTCGAATTGATTGCAAAGAAAATAAAAACTGTGGGGAATACGAAACACAGAAAAAACACAACAAGGCAGGCTGGCGCTTACAAATGATCAAACAGTGCTTGAAACGGCAGGTGTATATTGGCATTTCAAGCATTGTTTTATCATCTCTAAGTGTCAGCCTGCTGTGTCGTGTTCTTTTACTGTGCTTCGTGCTTCTGCTTGGTCTTTGTACAATTCTACTATATTTCTTGATTCCTGATTCATCTGCGTGCGAAATTGTTTTAAAACAAGGGTTCATTTTTGTGTAAATAAAATAAGAAACTTGATTTTAATGAATTCTCTTTGAGTAGACTGTATTCGTGCTTCTCTGACACCAGTTGGAAAACCAGTCTGAGTAGACTGGTTATTTGTGCTTTTCGGACATCAAAGTTTTTGCCCGATTAACATATTGGCAATAATCTTCAGTTCACTAAAAAGCTGAACTTTATATCAGGTGTTTTAAGAAATGTGTCCAAAGTTTTAAAAAAAGAGAAAAATCTGATCTCTGTTACATGGCTTCTTCACTGCTTCTTCTATACCTGCAGACATCTTAACACGGCATCTTAACACGGCATCTTAACAAGAATAGAACATCTTAACACGTTGACTGCGACAACCAGCCCAGCCCTTCTCGCCCGACAGTGTCTACGATCCGCGACGCAGCCATGGCCCATAGCGTAAGCGTGGTGTTTCTTTGAACCGACTTTCTAAATGCTCTGTACATTAGCTTGCTAGCTCTTACTTTGTAACTTTCTTGGTTGGGCTCATTATTGTTTTATATACATTTGTTCGCCGTAACATTTGTGTTCTATTCCTTGCAGTCCTAGGCAGCGTCTCTGACAAACACAACTCAGCATTCTTCCCAAACTTTATTACATAACGGCAGGCATACTCCCGCAGGTATATCAAGGAATTTCTCAGGACAAAGGCAAAAAAGTTGCTAAAATTGCGTGCTCACTTTTTTGAAGTCTTTGACGGTCTGAATAGACGTAGCCAGCCGCAGTGGTAACCTGGACAAGCGAAGAAAGAAACAGCGCTTAAGAAGAAATTATTAGGCACTCAGGAAAATGGGCTGCACTAAACAGCGATTATTTTGGCTAGGGTCCTTGCCTTCTCTACAGAACACACAATAAATGTTATCTATTTTGCAGCGACGTTCAGTATACGGAATTCCACATTTCTTCCGCAAGTGTCATATTCGAGTGAACCGGGGTATCTTTTAAAGTTGAGCCCCGGGTATAACAAAGTACAGCAGATTGAGTCGGCTGAGGTGGTAAGGCGTCAAGACCACTTTTGCTGTTAACAATATTAAACTCATTTTCTAACACGAAGGTATTTTATGCCTGGGTACACCACGGCTCCGCTGACGCACTTTCGTCACAGAGGTACCGTAGAAAAATATATACTAAGAAAGTCCCGAGAAAAACAAAAATTGGCCCCGTATCTGCATGGTACACAGCAAATGTCGAAAGACGATAGTCTTGCATCTGGAGAGAGTGAATAAAACGTGTATTTGATGCTCTACGCAAGAAATTCGGAGAATTGTATTCTGGAGGCGCTGCGTTAGAGTGCCTCGAGCATGCAGCGGAGGATAATGAGTGCACCAAGTCACGTGACACGTGAGACATGAGCGCTATCTGGCAGTTACCCTGGAAAACTAGGCGCGCGCCATGCGTGCCCGTCTCTGAGGTAATAAGGTGTAGAACGCAAGGCAATGGGTAGAGGCCACCATCGTGTCGTCTAAGAAAAGCGTTGGAAACACTTGCCTTTTCGTGCGAGCGTTTAATGATCAGCGCAGCGTAATAAACGCAATGGTCCTTAGAATTACTTATGTATGCCTTTTATAGTAAAAAAGTACACATATATCATATTGACTTGTTGTTATGGTGCCTCAGATATGTGCAATAATTGCTTCTTAATTGACAATCGCACAAGTATGAACACTGAACCTTCAGAAATATTGGTGGTCGCTGCGGAAGGGGTCGGCCGTTTGGGTATGGGCTGGTGCCAGTGCGAATGGGTCCACCCGTTAAGGGTGGACATACAGAGAAATGTACAGACAGACAGGCAGACAGACCCAAATTTTGGCGTCAATAATACCCAAGAAAGACTATCGTTTTTACGAAATATGGCAGATCGCACGTACTTCGGAATCGACGTTATGCGAAGCCTGCGGAGGGAAGGAGACCGTGCTGCAATTTTTTTATTGAGTGGCACGTCATGAAATGACGCTAAATATATGACCAAATGCAGCACGCACAGACATACGCTGAAGAGTTGTAGATATTTAGATAACCACTTGTTTGCACTTCGGCAACCATGTCAACAGGAGCATGCAGATTAACAACACCTGAAGCTGTTATGAAGCGCTGATGCTCGCGAAATGGCAACTAACCACAATTGGCGTTAACTGGACGTGATGGCTGTTTCTAAAGAGTATATATTGAATGTTTATAAAATAGGGTAGCCAGAACTGCAACCACTATTTACGTTTCACGAAGATTAGCGTCTATTTGAAAAGTAGTTTAGAGACCTGGTGTAGCTCTTAGGTAGAACAATTGACTGCCAACATAGAATGTTTGGGTTCGTTTCCACCTGGAACCCTGCAATTTAATATTTGCATTCGTGGGGTGCGGAAGGGGGGGGGTAAACGCTGCCTATATTAGGTGTTTCTTAACACTGACAATAATTCAATGCCTTCGTGTGATCGATGCTACCGATGTAGGGTAATGCTCAACACTCACGCGTTAATTTGACGACGTGTGTTCTCGTCGTTCTTGGGTAGATACTAAGATACTGTGTCACATATTCGCGTACCATTGGCATATTCCCGCCTGTTGCTATGTGCCACTGTCTGACAGGAAGTGTGTGACGACGTACGCGACAGGATGTGACATTATTCAAGTTTGACCAACGCGTCATATTCGCTAAAGCATCTCACTCTTCCATGCTAATTTTGGTTCACGCCAAGTAAAGGGGGTGGCCTCGAGAGCACCCAAACGTAAGCGGCTAGATATATAGATACGCTCGAAGTCACTGAAAGAATGCTTTGTATTTCAAAACGTCAAGGCAAATACTTGTCGTGCAGAATCGAACCAGCAACCTCGTGATAGTTAGCACGCAGCGCTAACCACCGCGCCACGGAGCGTACGTTCTCTACAATGCTAATGGCAAGTCATTTATACCCCGTTTGGCAGTCCTCAGGACTTCGAAATTTTCGTGCGCTATCTTGGTCAGCGAGGAGATGGCGAGACGTGCTCGTTGGGCGCGCTGTATAAGTCGTCGCATCGATAGAGCGTGGTCTCGTCTGAGCGCGCGTTCATCAGACTCGTTATTCGGGAGAAGATGAAGGTCACTTCGCACACTGCCGCAGCAGCATTTACGAAAGGAGCGTGCTGCTCCCACACGACGCAGGAAGAATTGTGACAGTTCGCGCTTGTCCAGCGTATATTTGCCCCGCCATGGTGGTCTAGTGGCAGAGGTACACGGCTGCTGAACCGAAGGTTGCGGGATCGAATCCCGGCTGCGGCAGCTGCATTTTAGGTAGCGGCGAAAATGCTGTAGGCCCGTCTGCTCAGATCTTGATGCACGTTGAAAAACCCCAGGTGGTCGAAATTTACAGAGCCCTCCACTACGACGTCTCTCATAATCATATGGTTGTTTTGAAACGTTAAACCCCCCATATCGGTACTGTGTATACTCGTGCGCTGATTTCGTGCGTCCTTCTTTCTGTTTTAACAACGCGCTTTAAGTGTCGAGCTGTGGCAGTTGTCAGTCCGCGCTCTCTGCGTATGGAAATTTCGTGCGTGCTTTGTGCTTGAGGTGTGCGCTGCAAGTTCTGAGCCGCTTGCCCTTCTTAACGTGATGTTGCGACTTGTTGCTGTTGCTGAGAGAATCCTCAATAAATGCACAACTACCTCACAAAAGACACGTTTCCCTTTCGTATTATACCGATTTCTACACAGGAAAATCAGCAACGTTTTTTTTAACATACATCCGTGAGCACATTTAACTCGAACGCTCCAACGCGTAGCCACGGCTCGATTGTAGTGCGGTCAGCGCAACCAAGCATTGAAAATGATATGTTTGCTACATTTAAGAATAGATGGGGTGCGCGTAGGTTTTATGTGTAAATGTCTGTTTCCAGCCTGTCCGACCGGTGGATTGAATGCACGCACTTGGCATTCCACTTTCGCACCGTTTCGCTCGTGGCTGCGTTAACACACGCGCGTCCATGGCACTCGTTACGTAAACTTATCTCGATAATGAACCATTGCTTCCGACACCTTACGCACCTTTCGAGTTACGACTCGCATATGCTGCTCTAAAGAAATCACATGTATGAGAATAAGTAGAGCAAACCGTGGCCATGTTATGGCGTTTTTAAATATTGCACAGTAATCAAATCTGAAATCATTGATATGTGGGGTTTGACGTCCTAAAAACACAATATGATTATGAGAGACACCGCATGGAAGGGCTGCGAGAAATTCGACCACCTGGGCCTCTTTACTAAGCGCCCAAATCAGAGCACACAGGCCTACCGAATTTTCGCCTCCGTCAAAAATGGACCCGCAACAGTTGGCATTCAATGCCGCGACCTTCAGGTCAGTAGCCGAGTACCTTAGCCACTAGACCATCGCGGCAGGTTGTTGTACATTTTTTGATTCATTAATTTGCAGACAGGGTCAATTAAAGTTTTATCGCAATTTAGAGAGTGCCTTTCTGTTTGGTTTAAGCTGCACGAAAGATGTGGGCTTGGAGCGGAATGTTGTTGTGTGTTCTTAGCAAGGACAACACATGAATACAACGCAATCAAAGCAATGTTCTTGCATAGTTATCGCATAAAACGTTAAACCGCAGATACGTTGAACCTCAGAAATTATCACATGAAAAAATCTTGCACTCCGCGACCACATCTTCCGTGCGGCGCGACCTTAACAGGAAGGCACACACTAAATTGCACGAACAGCTCAATCCTCGTTGTCTTAAACTAATGAAACAACATGAACAACGCCACCATATTTCAGATTTATTTATTGTAAAGCTTTAACGAACGCATTCAATGCGCGTTCGCTTTGCTTTATATACATGTGATTTCTTTTGAGCAGCAGCTGCACATTCAAACTCGAGACCTGAGTAAGCTGTCGCACGCAATGGTTCGATGAATGCGATGAGCGCGCGACAACGTAGCCACAAACGAAACTCGGCAAAACAGGATGCCAAGTGAGTGGATTTGACCCGCCGGTCAGGCGAGTCGGCAACAGATATTTAGTAGTGAAACTGACTCACGCTCCATCTACTGTTAACTGCTGCAAGCATATCATGTTCAACGCTTCGTGGCACTGACCTCAGTCTGAGCGAGCCCTGGGCAAGCGTCGGAGTGTTAGAGTTAAAGAGTCTGATGGCTGTACATGTCAAATCGCATTGATCACCGCGATAAAGCTATGATTTTATCTTATCGCACTATGTGATTTCATGACTCATTCTTACCCAGAACGTGCATCGTTTGACAGGTAAAATGATAGTTCTTTTGTGAATTTTATACCCGCTTGGTACTGCTTGTATAACATTTTTTGCATTCGTCATAATGTTCTTGCGTTCTACCACTGCTGCTTTAATTCTTCTCTAAGTTTTCGCCGATCAGTTTGTTCCTGTCACATTTTTTCTTGATTATTCCGTAATGTTCCTTTCATATATATGTATCCACCTCTCCTCTGTGACGTCTTCAGGCCCTGAGAGTGCAACCATTAATAACTAAATGTATTGATAGGTAAAAATATATAAATATTAAACTTTCAAGAAGTCCTCATTGCTTAGAAACTATCAATACAATAGGACGCAATCAGACGCTGTTCGATAGCAATTTTACCCGCTGCTTCTAACCATTTCAGAGTGCCACTGAAAATGACTGTTGATGAACGCGCTCACTGAGACTGATTTTCTACATGCGTGAACGTTTGCATTGTAATGGCACACTACGTATATAGTCAATACAGAAAATGTGTCATCGCCAAATGAGTGATATTTTGAAATCGCAAATTATCGCACAGCCTTTGACGCACATTGAACAAATGTGTTTTCACCGTAGTCAGATAGCTTAACTGTAGATCAATTCGACTAGTATTTATAAAGATTGTGTGCTTTACACAGAAGCTGCTCCGTTTATTTTATGTAATGTTCTGGCTCCGCGATGTCACCTATGAGTGGTTATACTGGCACATATGTCCATGGGATTTCGCAGAGGTTCAGAAAGATTGCGAAGGGCTATGAAGCAAATCTTTTTTCTGCTCATGGTAAAGCTGGAAAAGCATGTGACGAACAGGTGGAAGAATAGCCAGTTACGGAAGATCTTGTGTTTCGTCAGACATCGCACCCGTTTTGTACCACGTGCTTGTGATGCATTATATAACATTTCGCTAACTTGTGGAAAAAAGATATCGGACAGACTGGCACCTGCCTGAACGAGAGACTACGCCAGAACAACACATTAAAAGTACACATACTTAATTTTTTTAGAATCTCATTGACGCTCTCGGGTATGCAAACCACTGTTTCATAGCAGATGTCTTCTCCAGGCACATTCAGCGAAGCTCACGTGAGATCATACGTGCCTTTCACATTAAGAATAACCATGGCGGTTGCATATCCGCCCCATCTATCTGTCTACATGATGGCGAATTCAGTCTGCTCGAAAGAAAAGACAACGATCTGTAGTGTGATGATGCATTCGCAGTCGCTCCATGTGTATTTATTTTTTCTGCGCAATAAACCCAATCGTTTCTCCAGTGCCTGTTCGTGTATGCCCTGATTTCATGTCTTCCTATTTTCGCGATGTTTTAAAAATGTGGGTATCTACCTGCCGTCGCTCATGTGTGTATAGCTTCATCGGCGCAGCTTTTTCCTTGGAGTCTGGGGTGCAGCAAGTCGTTATTTTTCTCAGACTGCCCACGTTGGCCGCTGTCATGCATGCTGAAGCATTATGAAATGTAATGAGCAGCTACGATGTCCCCACTTTGACAGGACACGCATGCCTTGGGGTGCTATTAATTAGCAAAACACACAATGTTCCTGGGTCCTCCGTATGCCTTAAGGTGAGGCTCATATTCCTCGTGTAAGAATGTTGTTGAAGCAATGCGTGCATGTTTAAAACCGCCGCCAATTTTACCGGAATTGGTGTAAGCCTGCCTGGAATCGGTGTAAGTCATGTGCTTGCCGTGGGCCGCATTCACGAACCACGTGTTTGAGGCCCCTGACCTAGACCATATGATATGTGGTAACCCTACTGATAAAAGAACACAGCATCTGCTCTGAAGCACAGTGCAATGAAAGACACCTGCAGCTGTCAAAGTTAGCATTCCAATCTTGTTTTGCGGTTGATATGGCACGAGTACAAATAGTTCCAAAGCAGCAGCAGGTGCCTGGGAGCAACGGGAATGTCAACAGTGTTGGTTACAGATTTCGGTGCACGTTAAAGAACCCCAGATGGTCTAAATTTCCGGAGCCCTCCACTACGGCGTCTCTCATAATCATATGGTGGTTTTGGGACGTTAAGCCCCAGATATCTATATAACAGTGTTGGTTAGCGCGAAACACTATGTCACGAAGCTCCAAGACGATGCGGAAATCACGATAAGAAAACGCACATTGCGAAGGTGGAATATGCACCAGCACGTGTACTTTGCCACTCAACGTTTTCAAATATAACCTCTGATGGTGATGTAGTCGTTGATATCGAGTTGACACGTCCCACTGCGTTATACTTCTGATCTTTACAGCCAACTTTTTGATACCAAACTGGCTTGCGCCATGCGACCTCTGTCTGAAGTGCTAATCAGCATCGCAAGTGTCCTACCTTCACAGAGTATAATGACTAACACCTACTTGTGAATACTGGCTTTGTTTCATTACGTTTCCAGTCCACATTATCGATTATCCGCTGAAAGTTTTACCTATTCTCATAAATCGAGTAGCCTCGTTGTAATAACAGACAGCCGAGCTAGTTGTTAAGACGTGGCGTGCCAACACGGACACGCGGAGGAACTCAAGACAGCACAAATTCCAACCCATTGCGAAGGTGCACCACGGGGAAAAGGAACAACGCACGAAAACGTATCCGCACGTGACCATTCAATTTGCGAACCTATCAACCAGGCACCTGTGCTGGTCTACATAAAACATAACTGTAAAGGCATTTGATTGCATCTTTATGTAAGTCAATTTTCGGCGACTCTGGCATGTACTACCACTACTGGGACTGTGCCATGCACAATAAGAGGGTGACGAAGGTGCCACCCAATAATTTACCCCCCCCCCCCCTTTGCACTCACGAGGTCGTCTCATTTCGTGCCTGATAATATAATGTTGTCATGCTTCATCTATTTAGTGTGCCCTTCAAGGTCCTGGACTTGTTTGTTCCTCCTAGTATTAGTTACGGCGCCCTCACTGACCGACCGTCATCTGTCGTCATCACGTGAGAGGCATAGTTCCATCGTTTTTCCACTTGATATGTACAAGGGTATCAGTCGCCCACGCTTCTAGTTTGATCGACTGAGTATGGTTCTATATCGTCGAGTTGCCAATAATAACTTGTTATATTGCAAGCTCTGTGGCCCCTGAATGGGTGGTGGCATCGAACTTCGACGTTCCTTTCAAGCCTCTCGTGGTTTCCTCTGTATGAAAGGACACGCCACACGAACGTTTGGAGAGAGCAACTGTGCAGAATATATTTGAATTTCTTTCCAAAGGGCACACAAATGCCCATTATCTCGATCAAGGTCCATCGTTAGCCAATAGCTAAGGTGATCGCTGGACCTCTGCCACGTACATACCGTGGAAGCATCGAGGCTGCTGCAGCTACCAGTGCGTTTGTTTTGCAGGTGATTGTGTGGCACGTGTGTGGAGCAGACGATATTTCGCAGTACGTGCGTCCGAGCTTTGTCGAACCACTTGACCAAGTCGCCTACACTACTACGTCCCTGCCGAACTTTGAACCCACAAACCAAAATAACAACATTGTCCACATAAATAAGGTGGCATTAATATATTCAGTGATAATGTAGAAATCTTGTTGTTTGTAATGTGTTACTACGTGTTACTTTCAGCTTTTGCAAACCCTTCCAAAGAAACGTGCAATCCACAATTATGGTGTCTCCCCCTTCTTCAAGTTATTTTCAAGTTTTCACGCGATTCTTTATGTTTGTGCTTATGTCCGACACACATATACGCAATATATATATATATTTTTCAAACTGTGGTATTCGAGTGCTTTGCGATCAACGCTGAAATAAAAAAATGCAACTTTAACCTCCAGGAATTGAACCCGGGATCGTTTCTTAGTATCTCGAAGCTATAAGGACTAAGTCGATTCGATCCGCCGATTATACGGACTGTCAAAGCGACAAAGGTGTCTGAAGTTAATGTGCATGGCCAAAAATAGATGCAACTGCAAATTTCGATATTAAGGAGTTGCTTTGCAACACAAGCTGGAATGAGGGATCACAACCCTGTGCAAATTTTATTTACGCATTTAACCATGTATAGTATTACGAGCTATCGGATGTAATAAAACGTACTTTGCGTCACTTACTTGTCCTGCTTTTTCAAGCGCAGCATGGCGAAAAACACATTCCAGTAGTCTCGGCGCAGGCTACCAAGGGGAGTATTTTTTTGCACTGTAAAGAAGAAACATTACTGAATAAAGTCGAACTCGCAGTTTAAGCAGTGTCTGAGTTTTAGTACTATTTATGTGTCAATTCCGTACAAGTTCCTGTTAAAAGACAACACCAGGATACTATTGCAGTAGGCAAGGCCAAGTTCAACTTCGCCCGAAACCTGCCCACACTATTACTGCAGAATCATGCACTAACTGCAATCATGCAATAACTGCAACACTTCAATAACCCTGCAGAATCATGCAGGGTTATTGCAAAGTGAGTGCCTGTTTTCAATTCTGATTTCCTTGCATACAAGCGTACGTTTCAAATTGTGTGTATATTCATGGGCTTATGTGGTGTGTACCTTTTATGATTCCCAAGGTAGATGGAGTGAAAACGACAAAATGTGCGGTATTATCAGTGTACGGAACAGAACTAAACTGGATGCAATAATTCCAGGTCTCTGATGCATCTTCACGGAGGCCACAAGACAAATTAACAGGGCGAAATGAAAAGATTTCAGCGGTCATTTTTACAATACCACGAGCTGTTTCCAAACGTCTACGCTCTGATGCCACATGGAACCCTAGAGACTGTTCCTAAGAGGTTGCTTTTAGCAAAAGGGCCCCACCCAGCAATCAATTACTTCATTATTATTATTAACTAGTGTACCTCTCCCTCCTAAAATGTTCAAGCAGCTTGGAAAGTCCAGCCGCAGCTGTGTGCGTCAAAAAGGAACCTATTAACCGAATTTTAAGCTCTAATAACCGTAATAACCGAATGGTCAACTAACTTCTTAGTTGTATATTGTTAGTTTTTACTCGTCCACAGCACAGGGTTTCCAGGTTACACACAGTGCAGGCTTTCCCAGGCGGATGTTCAATGATGCTGCCATCCAATATTGAAGACTAGCTTTTGGAGACATATACCTTCGCTTATTAGGCTTATAGTGTATGGACAATGAAGATAGAATGTAGCGTCGCTTAATATTTAGCAATAAACTCCACTTCTTCAACTGTCTTCTGTAATAGTTCGTCCTCTTTACCACACTAATAAGACGACACCAAAGGTAAGTGCGAGGACATGGGCAGCACTGCTCGTGTCGTCGTAATTCTCTCTTGTCTTTCTAGTGCAGTCAAGAAGTCGAACAGTAAGCACGAATTGGGCCAAACGGAAGTTATCCTGAAGCATGTACACTGCAAGGCTGCGATAACGAATTCGAGTGATGTCGAAGTAGAACCTCTGTGTGCAACATGCAAAGTTTTGAAAAAAAGCAATGAGCTTTCTGGAAAGTAGCCTTATAATTTTATTTTTCAAAATTAATTGATTTCTTTATTTGCTTCACCTAGCCTTTCACACAATGTTTTGCTTAGTGACGCTGATTCATGATACGTTTATAAGAACTGCCAGATTTTAGCAGCATTGCTGTTCCACTGGTGCCTTCTTCGAGTGAGGATTTATCAGGCTCAACATCTGAAAAGCTGCCCAGGTGAAGCTCTGGGCCATCACAACGCACTTTCAGTTGATAAGCGACGTTCGTCAGCCTGGGAGAGGTGGTGTGGCATGTAGGCCATGAGATCTCTCATGTGTCGTGGACCTCCTAAAGTGCAAGGCATGGTTTCAGTTCTTGTGAGTGTGTTCATGACACCTCATTTGTGATCTAAAATGAGAATTGTTGGAGGAGTTTACTCTTGATAGTCACCAACCGAGACCCTAAAGAAGCTGCCGGATGGATGCTGATTTCAAAGCCGTATACAGGTGTAATGCCGTAGTGATTGGTGAGGAAGTTCCCGCAGGATTAGTGTATGCCACCTTTGTCGGCATTTCTTGTGTACTTGAGTTGAAAATATGACCACTCAGTTTGGGTGGAGCGCTTGGGTTCTTGTCCTTTTCAGTGCCGTTACTAATGGCACTTTGGCCATTGCATAGCGGTTTCCAAATCAAGCTCTGATGCCGTGCCTGTGGTGATGACAACCCTTCCATTGAATACGTTCACTAGTAAAGTACTGTCTCTGTGGAGGAGACCATCCGGCTGATTACTCGAATTGTAAGGCAAGGTCAAAAGAAATTGAGCTGCTAGAAAAACACTTTATAAGCAAAAATGTTCATGACGAGAAGCCATTGCTGTTGTCAAGAGTCGGATCTTCGCATATGCTGGTCTTGATACAAGGTAAGATTATTTTAATGAGGCAGCACGCTTGCAACTTGTTGAATCAGCAGTTAAAAACGCATTGTCGAAGGCGCTGGATCATATAGTCAGAACTGTGGGTGTGTCTCCCAAGTGTTTAGCGCTGAAGTGACGCAGCTACTTCAAAATGCTGCAGCACCAACGACCAAACTGACAACTTGCGCAACAACATCAGTAGCAGCAGAAATGTCTAATTCAGCGCAGCAGCGGGAACATCAGGGAGATCAAATGCCTACTTTATCGGAACCTTCTACCTCGATTCAAGTAGTATTACTGGATAAGATGGAAATTAGCCATGATAGCAGCTGTCAGGAGAGAACTGTGTATTGCCTTTTTATCAGGTAAATCCCGACGTAGTAGCAATGCAAGACACCTGACTTACGCCATACAAAAAATATTGTTTTCAATATTTTCGGATATTTATGGTGCTGCCTTGCTTTGTTCAGACCCCCAACAAAAATTATTACATGTAAAGTGAACAGAATCACTACTGCACCAGAAAAACATTTCATGTGTATCACTGCTTTCATTTAAATAGGAAAGCGTTGAAGCGCAGTTGCGCTTGTTAAAAGTGAAGGCGATATCAATAAATATTTCAAACGTGCATGTATTCTTTATCAAGAACACAACAACAATGCAGTTGTTCTACCAAATATATAAATCTTTCAACCACGCAAGTATTTCATATACAGCAGACTAAATCAATGCAGTTGTTCGTGACTAGATGTTGCGATACGAATTCACATATTTATGTCAGTGGTCACCATCAGACGTAAACTGTCAGACGCCACTTTGAAGAGAGGCACACGCTTTGCAAAAGTTCAAAGCTAGAACGGCAATCTAGTACAAAACACATTCTAGCCAGTTCGAGAACTTTTCAAAAAATCGAATTTGAATAGAATAGTATTAAAACTACGCCAGCGAAAAAAATCCGGCATCAAAACAACGTGGTCACACATGCCCAAACAGAGACCCAGAATCAGCAGCATGCACGTTTCTGTCGAGCGTGTTGCCAAGACCGAGGCTGACTCCGCCCGTCGTAGCGCCATCTAAGAAGGCACCGATGAAGCTCGGAGATAACTAACTGATAACGGCCCAAACAATATCTGTACGAGCGGGATTTCGCTTTCAACGCATTGCTGGGAGAGTGACAGCACCTGCATATTCTCACACCGTGGTCAGGTGTCCGTCGGAATTCGTGCACTGCTCTCTCCCATAGCAACAGCTGCGGGCGCACGCGCCCCTAGCAACCGGAGCCCCCACTATGTGTCTCGCCGTTGGCTCTCTCTCCTCCCAGCGCCCCACTTTCCCGTCCGCTCGAGCCACACTCTCCGACGGTCACTGGCTGGGAGCCTCTCGAAAAATTCCGACTAGGTGTGCCCGAGACCCCGCTGTGAAACGTCAACCCCGAGCCGAAAACGCTGTTTGTTTTGTTCATTTCATAGTATTTTTAACATTGAATACTAGCTACTAGAGCTGGAAACGCATACCACGTTTCTCGCGACAAGAAAAAAAACAGAAACAAGAGACCGCGTTTGGCGAACTGCGCTATTTGCGGCACGGTGTAAGAAATAAAAACAAAAATAATTTTTCTAACGCTAGGCTTCCGCGTGCGAAACGACTTTATGGATGCTACACAATGCATTCACATTCCTCACGATTACTTTCGGGGATGAGGGAACATTTCTTTTTTAAATTTGTCGTTCCGTGTAAGTTTCCCTTAAAGTGCTCTTTGTTCGTACTTTCGATCGAAGCCTCTTGCTTTTTAGGTGGCTGCTTTATTGTTTGTGTTGCATCATTAAGTGGTTTGAGGCACGCACTTGTGCATTCACTTTTTCAGGTGCATCTTCGTGTGCACCTTCCCTGCGAGTGGCATTTGCTCGATTCTTGTAATCAGACAAGAACGTGCTTGCTTTCACTTGAAGTATATTATATTCTTGGTACAATACGTGAAGCAACCTGTGGCTATGTTTCTTTTTTCAGACGCGTCTGAAGACGTGTTGTCAGTGCTTGAGTGCAAAAGTGGTACTCTTGCAGGGTGCTGTATTGCTCTGAAAGTCCCCCGCTCAAAATATGGTGAACCAGTTTTCAAAAAGCCCATGATAAGAAAGGCTCATTTAAGAGAAGTATTATCTTCAGTTGGTTTCAAAACGATGCTGTGAAAGAAATGCGCACACCCGTCTTGGTGATCAAGAGGTTAAGGTTCTCGGCTGCTGAACCGCAGGTCAGGGAATCAAATTTCGGCCGCAGCTGCCACACTTCCCATGAAGGCAAAACTGCTTAAGGACCATTTGCTTAGATTTAGCTGCATGTTAAAGGACCTCAGGTAACCATAATCGTCAAACTACTCCGATATGGCGTGTATCATAATCACATCGTGGTTTTGGGGCATTAAACCCTATCAATTTTTATTATTATGAAGTAAATGCGCGCATATTTCTCCGAAGCAAAATGTCACACTTGAGTACTTTTTCCTACAATTGAGTTCGAACATGGGATCAGCGCCTTCCTGGTATTGTCGTTCTATGAACTTTAGGCGAAAAAACGCATATTTGGGCGTGGATGATGATTGAATTCCGTGCTATTTTTGAGAACAAGACAATAACCGGAAGGTAAGCAATTCACAGTGCGTATACGAATAGCTCAACAGCGCAAAACTCATTTGGCCTGGATATGGAAAAATCAATTCAGCATGTTTTCACAACGTAAATATTTGCCCATGGAAAGAAAAACCACTTGACGTCAGCCTTTTAAAAACACCAATGTAGTATCGATTCACTTCTAAAGTTCTCATTAGCTGATTTAGACTTGCCATATTGAACACAACTGATCAGGAACGTCAAGTCTAGATGTTGTTTGAGTTGTCGGCTGATTGGTCTTCGTGGTGCGACGTGCTGCTCTTGTGGTCAGTTCTGGTGGCAAACAACATATAAAGAAAGATTGTCGTGTGTTGGAATCCCGTACCACGTGATTGTTGAGTCAAATGAAACGATATTTGTGTGCATTTGTCAAGGTCTTTTCAGGATCACTGTATAAATTAATTTACGGATGTAACTTTATGTGAATATATTTCGCAGCTACCTAAACACACGGACTAGTTACGTGATCTCATGCTGCATAACGTTCTATTATCGCAACAATTTAAAAATGAACGGAACTTGACGAAGCAATGGTGTTGACTTTAGCAGCCTGCGGTAAAGGAAATGAAAGTAGAATAAAAGAAGGTGTTCTTAGTATACGTATTTGTTATAGAATTATTTCACCTGCCGAATCGAGACAGCGCCATGCACCCACACATTGACGCTCGATAGTATTATCCGCCTCCAAATAAAGTTATTCTTACTTTTTGGACTCCCTCACAGAAACATAGCACATACCAGCATGTTTGTTAGAAACTTCTCAATCACACTCAAACACACACACACAAACACACATACACAGAGAGAGGATCCATTCAGAGAGAGAGCAGTGCACATCAGAAACAACGCAATCTGTCATAGAAGGTCCACTACATGTGTCCCACAAAGACCATAGGTGCCGTGCTAGTGCAGGCCGTTGAGAACAACCAGTTTACATAAGTTTACCATTGATTCCTTTTCGGAAGATGAGCTCCAGAGTTGTGCAGAATGGTAGGAGTAGTTCATTGGTGTCATCGATGTTCAACACCAGACAATGGCGACGAAGGTCGAATATGTGGTCTGCAAAAAATGTGGTGCGTGCTTGAATCATTTGCTCAACGCACTGCTTATCGTCAGAGGTTCATGTGGTTAGTAAATCACACGTGTCATTGAGATAGCAATGCACAAAGTACATTGTTCTTCGTAGACCTTTTCCAGGTGTGCTATACTAAATATGTTCGGTGACTAAAAAAGGCAGTGAACGTATATAAGGAAACTACAGTTACTTGACGTGAGTGGTAGTCCAACCGTGAATTGGTGTGTTCTTTCTCTTAGTTGTGTGCTGTCTTTTTCGTTACTCGTAAGCATAAGCCAACAAAGCAGAATTACAAAAAGTACTTCCAACTTCGTTGTTCTGAAAAGCTAACCTTGCCTTTGTCACGAGCTGTCACAAGCTGTCTACCAAGTTTATTACGTCTGCCCCACAAAAATTTTGGAACTTTTTGAGCAAAAAGACCAAGTGTGTTTAACAAATTACACATGAAGGAGAAACTATTGTCGACAAGAAAACTATTGCCAATCATTTCAATTTGTACTTCTATAACGTTTTTTCTGCCTCTAACGAGCCACTGGACCAATTTTCTCGAAATAATGACGCTGTTCCAAATATTTTATCTTTACTCGGTATTGTTTCGTTGCTCCTGAATTTGAAAACTAAAACTTCGACTGGTCCTGACCAAATTCCCAACACTTTTTTACGATGATATGCCATAATGCTATCGGAATTCCTTATAATCATTTTCCGCGCTTCCATCCGTTCCGGCCGCTTGCCTCGTGACTGGAAATTGGGACGCAATGCTCCAGTGCACAAAAATGGTGATAAAGATTTGGTGTCAAACTATCGTCTAATAATTTCTATAACGTCTTCGTCTTGCAGAGTGCTTGAAAATATCATAGCTAAATTTAATATAACGTTTCTTAATGAAAATAACATACTTTCAGATGTTCAGCATGGTTTCAGGAAAGGGTTTTCCACAGAAACTCAGTTAATTTATGTTGTGCACAGTTTTTCACAAATTTTAGATAAGGCAGGCCAAGTTGATGTCATCTTCTTGGATTTCACGAAGGCATTCGATCTTGTTCCTCATGATAAGCTTATTCAAAAACTGAAATCAATTGGCCTTCCAGAATTTATAATTTCCTGGATTTCTTCCTATTTGTCTTAACGCGTTCAGTTTGTAAGCATTGCCGGTAATTGCTCTGACCCGCTCCATGTAACTTCTGGGGTTCCCCAAGGGAGCGTACTTGGGCCTTTATTATTTTTAATTTATATTAATGACATTGTTGATACTGTTTATTCGCCGATTCAGATCAGACAGTTTGCTGATGATTGTGTGTTGTTCAATGAAATAACTTCCTATAACGACCAGGTCTTACTAAACACTAACCTCCAAAATATCTTTGCATGCGAGCAATGGGAGATGAGGTTCAACACAGACAAAACCGTCTTTATGCGAGTAACCAACAAAAAATATTTTACCATTTACACATCAATCTGTTATTCAGACACTAGCTGAGGTTGTTGAGTATAAGTACCTTGGTGTCACTCTAACAAACGACCTCAGCTGGAATAAGCACATCTCTAATATTTGCGCATCGTCTTTCCGTAGACTTGGTCTTTTGAGACACTAACTAAAGCATGCTCCTTCTACTGTAAAAGAACTAGCTTATTTGTCTGTTATACGCCCCTCATTGGAATATGCCTCAATCGTCTGGGACCCATACACAAAAAGAAACATTGAGGCTCTCGAACTAATCCAACGCAAAGCGGTTCGTTTTATTTACTCCAAGTACCGAAGAACTGATTCCCCCACAAACCTTATGAAAGAAAACAGTATACCCACACTTGAAAAACTTCGTAAAACTCACAGGCTCAAACTTCTTTTTCTTTCAAATAACAACAAGCTGTCAGTAAACCGTGATTTGTATCTGAAACCGCTTGCGACAAGACAAACCCGGCATCGACAAACTCATTCATTAACACCGTATTTTGCCAGAACAAACATTTTCAAATACTCGTTCTTTCCTTGAACCACAAACGACTGGAGCTGCCTATCTCAATTGTTAACCAGCTCTGTAGAGGCACTTGAGCGTATCTAACCATGACCTATGTTGTTGTATCTTTTGTATATGATGTAATTTTTTTGTTCTTGCTGTTTTACACCTATGTGCAATGTTATGATATTTGCCCCTCCTGCCAGGGCCCTTAAATGGGTCTGCAGTATTTTGTAAATAAATAAATAAATAAATAAATAACCTGGTGATGAACGTACAGATTAGTGGAAATGCAAAGAGTCACCATTATTTTGCATCTGATACAACACCAACAAGAAAAGACAAAGTGCGTGAAGCCTCGGACATTTGCTCTAGAAACTACAGCGTTCTGTTCGCACAAATTTGTCGAATTTCTTCACAGAGAAACTTGGTATAGAACATCAAGACAATCTTGGCGAGTTTTTTTTTGTTGTTAAAAGGGCCCTTTCGTTAGTTGTTTCAATGCAGAAAATATGAACAGAAGCCACGAACGATTATCAGTGAGTATCCGCAGAGAGCAACATACAGGCATTACACAACGATACTGCGAACGCATCATCCACATCTGACGAATTAAATTTAAAATCACTCACAAACTCACACTTGTGCTCTGTAAGATCTAATTTTCAGAATAGCAGAGCTATTAAGTTCAATGTTTCATCGACTTGCAAGACACGTACTGGTTGCGCTTGATCACTTGTCGAATTGTGTAAAGTGTGCTGCGAAAGAAAAGGCATGGATGGGATGTTAAATTCAACAAAAAGAGTCGCATGTCCCAGATATATAACCAACTTTCCCGTTATAGAAGGGATATAAGTGAACCCATATAATGTGAGTGTAACTGCATATATAGAATATTTTTGTTTTTGCCCAGCCAGTTTGCCTTATAAATTTCATTTCTCAGCAACTACATTTGACACCTCTTTCAACTTACTGAGCTTTATTCTTTGCACTTGTTGATGTTTTTTTGAGTGCGCAAATGTGCCCGATTAGACACATTGGTAACGAATTCTGTAGGCTTGGCTGTATATGTATTAAGAGTGGGTCCGGCGGCACGATCGCGATGACACCAACTCACCACACGCCTCTATCCTTTGTGCAGCTATTAGTCATGGCCTGCTGCTCCTGCGGTGCTATCACCAATGCTTCCGCGGCAATGACTGCTACCCGAGCTCACCGCTTCGGCGACATCATGGCTGGTCCATCGTCGTCCTTCTGGAAGGCTTCGTCGGCACGTCTTGTCGGCGATTCCATGCGTGTTCGTCCTTGGAACCCTCCATCCGGCCCCCGGCCTCTGCTCGACGACTATGCTGGTGAGCGGCTATGCCACCCAATGACGACGTCCGCAGTGCACAGCCTTGCATCTGACGCCGTGCATCAACAATGGTGCCTGGCTCCCGCTGCCTTGCCTGTGCGGCCCCCCACGGTGCTGCGCATGCTTCGTCCGGGACCACGCGCTCTCGCCATTCCCACACGTGACTGCACCTATATAAATCGCCGTGACATCATCGCTGCTTTCAGTGGGTCCGGCGGCACGATCGCGATGACACCAACTCACCACACGCCTCTATCCTTTGTGCAGCTATTAGTCATGGCCTGCTGCTCCTGCGGTGCTATCACCAATGCTTCCGCGGCAATGACTGCTACCCGAGCTCACCGCTTCGGCAACATCATGGCTGGTCCATCGTCGTCCTTCTGGAAGGCTTCGTCGGCACGTCTTGTCGGCGATTCCATGCGTGTTCGTCCTTGGAACCCTCCATCCGGCTTCCGGCCTCTGCTCGACGACTATGCTGGTGAGCGGCTATGCCACCCAATGACCACGTCCGCAGTGCACAGCCTTGCATCTGACGCCGTGCATCAACAATGGTGCCTGGCTCCCGCTGCCTTGCCTGTGCGGCCCCCCACGGTGCTGCGCATGCTTCGTCCGGGACCACGCGCTCTCGCCATTCCCACACGTGACTGCACCTATATAAATCGCCGTGACATCATCGCTGCTTTCAGTGGGTCCGGCGGCACGATCGCGATGACACCAACTCACCACACGCCTCTATCCTTTGTGCAGGTAACAAACCGCTTTTCCTTATTCACTAAACCCACGCGTTACCGTGGTCTTTTAGTGCTGCCGGGCCCACATGCAGCGTTTGCCATTCTTTGCGACTGTGTGAATATCATCATGAGTCTCCTGCAACTGTCTGGCGATGTCGAACTAAACCCAGGGCCTGCCACTCGTGCCTCTGCCGGTGACGACCATTCAGATGTGTTAGCAGCCTTGCGCGAACTAAAAACAGGCCAATCAGCACTACTTAGCGAAATCAAAGGTATCCGAGATAAACAGGCTGATAACGATAAAATGCTGAAAGACATAAAAGAGAGACTTACGAAAATTGAAGGGGAGTGCCAATCGCTGACGGCGATCAAAGCTGACGTGAAGAGTGTGCATGCACTCGCAGAGGCAAACGCGCATCAGATTGAGCAGCTGACTGCTCGCACTGATGACGCCGAAGATAGAGCGCGGCGAAATAACTTAGTGTTCTACGGGATAGATGATGAGTCTAACGAAAGTTGGACAAAATCTGAGGAAAAGATTATCAGGTTTTCAAGCGAGCACCTCAAATTAACTATTGCTCCGAAAGACATAGAACGCGCACACAGACTCGGTACCTTTTCGCCGAATAAAACTAGACCAGTTCTAGTAAAATTCACACATTTCAAAGATAAGGAAAAGGTACTAACTGCTAGTAGAGATCACAAGCATCCCAATGTTAACATTGTGCAAGATTTTTCACCAGCCACACGCCTAGCCCGTAAAAAACTGGTCGAGTTCAAAAAAACTCAAACTTTTCCCAGCAGCCTTCGTCATAACAAACTTGTAGCAGGGAAGAACACCTACGTGTATGACCCGGTTAATCAACAAGTCGTTCTTCGCACGCCGTAGCAGTTAGCTAGTGGTTGCCCTTACGGTCCCAAGGACTATTTATCGTTTCTTT